TCTTGTCCCCCCTCGAAAACTTTGTCAGGCTGTGAAGATGCTGCTGCTGAATCCATGGGTTTATCACATGCCCAGAGTTTGTAACTTCACTGGAAGTTGTCATCCACGTTTCCAAACAACATCTTCCAGTAAGTGTGAATAGAGCCTATTGGTCCAGAATGATATCTCCTTTTGTTTGTCTTTATTTAGAGGGATTTCAGTCTGGTCCAAGCCAGGGGGTCTCAAAATGGCCGAAAATTCAAGTCAATGGGCCGAGCTCAATGGTGCGTGACTCCAGATTTTAGCCCGGGTAGGTACTTCCGGTGGCTCTGGGGCGATTGAGCATGTGCAGTAGTGCTCTTTTCTCCTGCAGGGACATGTGAATGCACATGAGCCATGGATCTATTAAAATAACGTGAGCGCACACACAGAATGCAGACTTGTGTGTCATGTGATCTCTTTGACCAATCAGAGCAAGAGGAGCTAGAACGGAGCAGAACGTACCCAGAGGAAGTGATATAAAGCGTAACTGAAGGATTTTTAGCTGAGAAAACATTTATAATCTAAAAATAGTAAAAATTGCCACAAAATCTGACATTTTTGAAAGCAGTGAGTGACCTGTAAGAGAAAATGAAATAAGTATAAGTGCATTTATTTAAGTAATTGTGAGTGAAATTAACACATACATCATGAATTTCAGACTTCTGGTCAATGTGCAATTCATACTGGGAAGGATTTTCCGAAAAAGTGACCATCAAACCGCCATGTTTGTTTTCCCAGTGAGATGCGTCCATTGACAAAGTCAGTCTTTTCAAGTCTTTTGAACCATATCACTTTTGTTTCTGGTTCTGATATTGTCATATTTTAGTTTTGGTTATCGTAATTGTGTGGTTGTTGGATCCTAACAGCGGAAAACAGCGGAATTGAAAAATAGCAGTATTGATCCACAAGATGAAAAACGGAAACCCTTGGCTGCCTAAATCATGCCGAGTTTGCAGCGAACATTTTGTATGTGGAGCCATCAAAGCGGGATCCTGTTTGTTAAGCGAGAGGTGCAGAAGACAAACAGGCTGAGCTGCACTTTCTTGTTCTTGTAGTTTTACAGCAACATCACGTCTTGGTCTCTTTGCAGTGGAAGGTGTTTCTTGGTGAACAGCTCGTGCCTTTCACTTTGACGTTGACTTTTAAAATTCTTAACCAAGGTTGAACAAGGGATCGAGATTTTGCTTTGATGGATCTCCACATACAGAATGTTCTCTGCAAACTCGGGATGATTACTTAAGCAGCCAAAGATGACCTTTTTCATCCTTCCTGTGGATCACTTACTGCCCATCTCCTTCGCCTTTCACTATTTTTCCTATTCCACTGGGAAGGGAAGCAGTTTGAACAGAGGTTTGCAGTCACACACATCTGATTTCTTTTTGCAGCTATGGAGTTCGCAAACTTCCAAATCCCATTTCTCGAGACGTTTTCCAGTGTTAGGACAACCAACAACCACAGAATTACGATGTCCAAATCCCCAAACTAAAATATGACAATATCAGAACCAGAAACAAAAGCGATATGGTTCAAAAGACTAGAAAAGATCAGCTTTGTCAATAGACACATCCCACTGGGAAAACAAACATGGCAGTTTGATGCTCACTTTCTCAAAAAATCCTTCCCAGTATGAATTGTGTAACGGTTGTTGATCCTTCGTCAGGCCGTATAAAGGAGACAGGACACAGTGTGGAGTCAGTCCGCTTTATTCCCTCTGTGACATATAAATAACCAATTAATATGTCTCTGGTGTCAGCACTGGCTCCCCTCTGCAACATGAAAACAGCATCGTGAGACGGCTGTAAATTTTCGCGGCACTCACCACTAGGCTATGACATTAAGCAAAATTTTTTTTCTCTTCTTTACAATACAAATAAAATATATAAAACTCAAAATCAGTACACCACAAAACATTCATTACACATAAAAGAAGTTGTCTTGTCAATGTGTTCTTGTATTTTTGCTGAACGTGCGCTGATTTTGTGAAATATATTCTTTCATACTTGGACAGAACTCACCCTCTGCAGTTTCCAACGAGCCACTGAGAGGGGAAGCCACACTACCAAAATAAAATACACAGGGGAGCAGTGCGGACTTCCGGGTTTTCAAAATAAAACGTTAATACGATAAAATTCACATAAACTACAAATAAACATGAAATACAAACAAAAAAAATGTGCATTTTTAACTCCGTTACATCTGCAAGTCTGAAATTTGTGATGCCTGTATTGTACTTTTGTCTGCCTCAGGTGTTCCGCCTTAAAGAGTCCCTGGAGAGCAGAACCGTCTTGTCAGGAGTGGGGGTGCACACATATTTTTACATTATTAAAACACTGCTAAAATAATAAATATATATATTCTTGTACTTAGATTTGATTGAATATTTGTCAGCACTTTTTAAACCTTGATCACTTACCTGTACTTACCTCTAGTCTCAAAAGTCACCCACTTAAGGGAGGTGGCCTGTAACAGGAGCCAGCCTCACCTTCGTCGAGGGGGACGTGCATTGGGTGCGTGCGGGTTATTGCCATGTTTGTTTTTAACTTTATCTTTTTGTAAATGGTTTTCAATTTTTTTTTTTTTTTTGCTAGTGAAATAAATGCACTTTGGGTCTGCACTGAAAATCAGCTCAGCTTGACTCCTCTAACCTCTAATACAAGCTCACAAGAGTCAGTTTTTAGGACCTTTACACAAGCTTAAGTTGTTTTTTTCTACAGTATATTGATCTGTTTATTTTGGAACAATTCTGCCCCTTAATGTCCTCACTTGCGGTCTCTTCTAATCACTATGTTAAGTTTTACAACCCACCATTAACTCCAATAAAACTCCAATATCACTTCCTCTGACTGTGGCCTCACACCGGCTCACGTGCACACCGTCGCTGCACGTGCACTGCTCTTACGTGCACTCTCTCACATGCACGTTCCTCTGAAAGCCAAGCCCAGATAAAGGTCCCATTCAACCTCCGTGTTTCAAGGCCTCTCGTGCTCACGTGTCTAAACATGACACAACACTTTTTACTCTACTCACCGCTGACCATTCTCTGCAGCTCTGGTCAGTCATTTGAAACGCTTTTTTGAGATTTTGTGACAACTGTTTTTCATTTGTAACTTTATTAACAAATTACAGAAACATTAAAAGTCGTAAAGTTCTATACAATAAAGAAAGTTTGTCAAAAATGGACTGTAACCAAAGCAATGACGTTTGTCCAAATGTGAGAAGTGAAAGCACATTTCTGGATGAATCTCAGCTTGACTTGGTCGGACAAAGAGTGGAGAAGAAGAAGACGCCAATTTGGAAAAAAGTGACGTCTCAGTGTCGGTGAGTTGCTATTTTAACCAGAAAAGACAAACTAAACCCAAAGTGTGTGTTGTATTGAGTATTTATTGAATAGTGATAAGCTTTAGTGCTTGGACTCTGGCAGGCATTGACGTGAGCAGTGCGCTCTCGAGGAGGCCTGCTGCGATTGGCTGTGAGCAAACAAGGAGGAAATACAATCCTCCTGTGAACTTTGCCTGAGCAGCCAGTCCCTCCTAGATTCACTTTGAACGCAGAAGGGTCTGGAGTTCCACACATCAGTCTGGGCTGTAGCTCACTTATACTGTTTGGAATGAATGTTCAAGGTGGTAAACAAATACTTCATGAAGTAAAAATCAAACTTTAAATTAATTCAGTTGAGAAAAAAGCAAAGGTGTCTTACTCGGTTACAAATGCACAAAGTACTTCCCTCTGCACAGTTTGCAAAAACAGAACATATTATATTTATATAAACAATAAAAACATATTTAAGCCAACATAAACTGAAGTACGTCTGTCGGGGTAGATATGTTTGTTTAGGTTTCTGTTTTTGGTAATTGGCTCTTTAAGGTGTAGTTATTATAAAGTGTTTCTAGTTTCTAGTGTATATATTTTATTATATTTATTTATTTATTTATTTTAGGCATATTTTTAGGATTTCCAGTGTTTCCTCTGTAGGAGCGTCTGCATCAGGAGCGGAGGTCGGCTGTGGCTCCTGGTGGAGAGTTGGTGTTTGGGCTTCATCTCTCCCCTGGACTCCTGTGGTGGTTCCTGGTGTGGACGTCTCTCTGCTCCTGGTGTAGACGGCTCCTCTGATGATGCTTTCTCAACTGGTTCGCCTGGATTCAGCCTCACATCTTACTATTTGTCGTTTTATGTATTTTACCGTGTTTGTGTGTGTTTTGTGTGTGTGTGTGTGTGTGTGTGTGTGTTTGGGTTGTCTGGTTGTGTGGGGTTGAGGCTGTGGATACTGGGTTGGTGGGTGGTTGGATGGAAATGCGGGTTGTGTTACAGTTTTGTATGAAAAGCGCTTTATAATAAAGTTTGATTTGATTTGATTTGAGTAAGGTGTTAACAAACATTCTAAAAACATTGGTCCTTTGTGTTGAAGGTGTTCTAGATCCAAGATGAAGTCTCTGGTCCTGGGTCTGGTCCCGGTTCTGTCCTGGTTTCCTCAGTATAACCTGCGGCAGAACGCGGTGGGAGATGTGGTGTCGGGAGTCAGCATCGGCGTCCTGCACCTGCCACAGAGTGAGTTTGTAAGAAGGCTGACACACTCCACCAGACCTGCACGACCTGTTGTCCTCCACACTGACAAATTAAATTCACCAAAACTGAAAGCCGTGTATCAAGATCATTCACCAGAGCAGACTTTTGCCATCACACGTCTTAGCTCCTGATTAGTGGAGAAGAAAACGGCTGGATGGAGCTCGCAGTCGTCTCATTTTGACTCTAAAAGCTGCTTTTACTATAGATCAGTGGAGAAAAACAAATGTCACTTTAAAAGACTAATAGGTACAGATCTTTTTAACTAAATAAATACATCAAACAGGGTAAGCAATTGATCTTATATGTCATGTTTTATTGTAATTTCTTTATTTATTGTGATAAATATTGTCAGTTTGCTGTAAATTAATGACTTCCAATGGGTGTGTATATCATTTTCTCGTTCTTTTTTTTCAGGTATGGCCAATGCGATGATGGTGGGGGTTCCTCCAGTTTACGGTCTGTACTCGTCTCTGTATCCTCTCATCATCTACTTTATCTTTGGTACTTCCAGACATCTCTCCATTGGTAATATACATTTTTATCTAAAATACATTCAAAATTTAATACACTACTTATAACACTATACTAATTATTTTGCGTTCATACTTCAGGTACATTTGCGGTCCTGTCCATCATGGTTGGTTCTGTCACTGCAGAGGTGGAACAGAGTGCGGCTGGAACAGAGGCCGACGTGGAGGCAGCCAAAGTGAACGTGGCCATACAGGTCACCTTTATCTGTGGACTCATTCAGGTAAGAGCGGTTTCTGTGTGGAGGTTTCATGTGCTCCTTGTGTCTGAGCGGATATTTTCTTTCAGAACTATCACCCATTGCTCCAGACAGACAAGTTGCCGTTGAAGAAATGGGCAAATTAACCTTACCAGATTGATATGTGTGTTAAGTGACGTCTACTCACTCTCAATCTGGAACGTGTCTTGTTGAAAGCGATGAGAAAACGCAGCACATCATGACGACTGTTTGTATTTGATTGGTCAAAACATCAAAACAGCAGAATGACCCGAAAAATCGACCCTCTGTTAAATCCAGTTGAGACAAAAGCACAGACACCTTTCTTGTCCACAAATGCACAAAGCACTTGGGTCCAGTCAAGTGGTAACGGAGGGAAACAGGGGCGGATTTTTTACATTCAAATGTCTCTTATTCAGAAACTAGAGGGACTATTGAAATAAGTAAAGTATCAGAATGTAGGAAAGAGTTACACTCCAACAGGGTCAAGTTAAACCTGTGATATTCTTTCAAGTTGTTGACAAAAAATGTAAAAACTCATGTCGGTAACGGAGGGAATGAAATATGCAGCACTTTTTGGGCAATAAATCCAAACAGTGATAACTCTTGGTTCTCACTTACATATCCTTAACAAACTGGTTTGAATATTTGCTTCATATAGTTTTCTACCATATGGTACAAGATTAGGTTGAAAAACCTCTTACTTTTTGAGTCATGAGATTTTTTATTAAGAAAGGTCATGGTAACAGAGGGAAAAGTAATGGAGGGAAAATTGTGCAAACAAGTAGAAGGTGCATGATTTTACATAATTTGTCAGTTTTTTTCTTCCAAACACTTTAATATTACTTCAAAATGAAAGGAAACTATTTCTATAAAATATATGTCAGTCCTTCCAAGCAAATTTTTAATCATTTTAAATAATTTTTTTTAAAAATCCTCTCATGTACCTTCATCAACAGTTCAAAGATGGAATAACACAAGATATGATGAAATACATCCATTTATTTACATGATTTGCAGGTCTTTGAAATTTGGGAAATAATTTTTGTTCCATGTTTCATACATGGTCTGTTTAAAACGTATGTAACTTTAGAAGCAAAAATGGTACAGAAAAAAGGTCAACAGTTTCATAAACTAGAGTACATATGTATCTGTTCAATACATTTTTATATCAGATGCATTAACTTGAATTTTTGGCCTTGCTGTTTACTTCTGCTTGACCGGGCCCAGTTACCTTCTACACATTGTTCACAAATAAAATAATCTGTTCTGGTGCTAAAATAGTCTGAAATACGTCTGTCGCTGTCGCCTCTCACAAATATCGCGAGAAACCATCTTACTGTGCGAAGCTTAGGGGCAAAAGCAATGGACACATTTTCCCCACGTGTATAAATTTACCCTTAATCTTTTTGTACACTTCCCAAACACTTCTCTTTGATGAAAAAAGTCTTCTGAATATGATTTATGACGTCTTTCTACTGTCACAAAATATATCTTTAACTAATCGATTAAAAAAACTCAATGTACCTACTATAATGTTACAGGTTAATAGGTTATTTTAAGGCCCAGTATTCAATATTGATGATTATTGATTCCATGAGGGAAAAACAGTTTGAATATTTTACTTCGCCTTGTTAAGCTGCACTCAGACCACGGCGTCAGGGGTTTACTCACAGACTCTATGGGGGACGCACATCGAGACTTGGTCAGCATTGTCTCTGCGCATCTTAAGCATTGACACAGATTGATCGTTCAGGGTCAAAAGCAAAGACATCGATCGAGAGGCGTTGTGATTTTGACTCAGCGATTTGAACACAGCATTAGTCCTTTCTGTCAATCTGCTGCACCATAATCAAGAAATAACAAAGACAGTTACTTCTACATGGTTCTTTATTGTCCTCATAAGGAAATTTGTCCTCTGCATTTGACCCATCTGTCAATACTACTGTAACTGTGGCATCTCCAGACTCATCTGGGCCCAGTCAAGCAGAAGTAAACATCAAGGCCAAAAATTCAAGTTAATGCATCTGATATAAAAATGTATTGAACAGATACATATGTACTCTAGTTTATGAAACTGTTGACCTTTTTTCTGTACCATTTTTGCTTCTAAAGTTCCATATGTTTTAAACAGACCATGTATGAAACATGGAACAAAAATTATTTCCCAAATTTCAAAGACCTGAAAATCATGTAAATAAATTGATTTCATCATATCTTGTGTTATTCCATCTTTGAACTGTTGATGAAGGTACATGATTTTTCAAAAAAAATAAAAAAAAATAAAATGTATTTAAAATGATAAAAATTTGCTTGGAAGGACTGACATATTTTATAGAAATAGTTTCCTTTCATTTTGAAGTAATATTAAAGTATTTGGAAGAAAAAAGCGACAAATTATGTAAAATCCTGCACCTTCTACTTGTTTGCACAATTTTCCCTCCGTTACTTTTCCCTCCGTTACCATGACCTTTCTTAATAAAAAAATCTCATGACTCAAAAAAGTAAGAGGTTTTTCAACCTAATCTTGTACCATATGGTAGAAAACTATATGAAGCAAATATTCAAACCAGTTTGTTAAGGATATGTAAGTGAGAACCAAGAGTTATCACTGTTTGTATTTATTGCCCAAAAAGTGCTGCATATTTCATTCCCTCCGTTACCGACACGAGTTTTTTATTTTTTGTCAACAACTTGAAAGAATATCACAGGTTTAACTTGACCCTGTTGGAGTGTAACTCTTTCCTACATTCTGATACTTTACTTATTTCAATAGTCCCTCTAGTTTCTGAATAAGAGACATTTGAATGTCAAAAATCTGCCCCTGTTTCTCTCTGTTACCACTTGACCGAACCCATCTGTAGATCTTGTAGCTAATCTTGTCCAGGACTGTCCCAGCTGGAGGATTGTACCTGTGCTGTATGTTTTGGGTTGATGGGGGAAACCAAAGGAAACCCACTCAGACACAAGGAGAACATGTAGGCTCCACACTGAAAGGCCCGGACCCATCAAATCCAATCAATATTGTGATGGCTCTTTGTGCAAAGAGCATTTTCCTGAACTCAGGTCCATGAAGCGTCTTCCTCTTGTTGTTGTCCACAGTTGGCGCTGCTGTTGCTGGTGGGAGGAGGGGTGGCGCGCTGGCTCTCGGTCTCTGTGATCCGAGCGTACGTGGCGGCAGCTGGGGCCCATGTCATCATTCTGCAGCTGCCTCTGATGATGGGCATCCAGACCCAGAAATACTCCGGAGTCCTGCCTTCCATATGGGTCAGAATGCACACAGTAACATTAGTACATTTGTTTGAGATTTGTTTGTTTTCAAGCCTATTTGACAGAAGATGCCACAACTTTTATACAAACATACTGGCACATGGTGGGCATTCTGTATATTAAGATTTTGCATCTACGTCACAAAACCACATGACCTGGTGTTTATGCTGCCATAGTGGAGGTCAAACTATCCATCTGGACTAACGTGTAGTATTTGTGTAGCGATAAAATTTTAATTGAATAACAATGGTTCTGACCTGTGTTTCTACTGGATGTTCTGCTAAAGAAGAAGACCAAAGTATCTTTTTATCGGATCTCAGCTGAGAAAGATCACCGACAGAGGTGGATAGTCACTGTTGGGCAAGTGACTTTAAAACTGTAATGTGTTATTTATGACTTGTTACTGTCATTTCAAAGTCATTTGTTACATTACAATATTACTGTGTTTAAAATGTAAAATATTACACGACTGTTGCAGCACTTTTAAGTTTCTCTCACCAAAAGAACTGTGAAGATGCTGAACTTTTGCGCCGTATTTGGACTGAACCAGGACTGAACCAGACTAACCAGGCCTGAACCAGGACTAAATCAGGACTAAACAGGACTGAACCAGGACTAAACTAGGTAAACTAAACCAAGACTAAACCAGGACTAAACTAGGACTAAACCAGGACTAAACCAGGACTAAACCAGGTCTAAACCAGGACTAAAACTAAACAGGACTAAACCAGGACTAAACCAGGTCTAAAAGGACTAAACAGGACTAAACCAGGACTAAACCAGGACTAAACCAGGACTAAACCAGGACTAAACCAGGTCTAAACCAGGACTAAACCAGGACTAAACCAGGACTAAACCAGGACTAAACTAAACCAGGACTAAACCAGGACTAAACTAGGACTAAACCAGGTCTAAACCAGGACTAAACCAGGACTAAACTAGGACTAAACCAGGACTAAACCAGGTCTAAACCAGGACTAAACCAGGACTAAACCAGGACTAAACCAGGACTAAACTAAACCAGGACTAAACCAGGACTAAACCTAGGACTAAACCAGGTCTAAACCAGGACTAAACCAGGACTAAACCCAGGACTAAACTAGGACTAAACTAAACCAGGACTCTAAACCAGGACTAAACCAGGACTAAACTAGGACTAAACCAGGTCTAAACCAGGACTAAACCTAGGAACTAAACCAGGACTAAACTAGGACTAAACCAGGTCTAAACCAGGACTAAACTAAACCAGGACTAAACCAGGACTAAACCAGGTAATAAACCAGGACTAAACCAGGACTAAACCAGGACTAAACCAGGACTAAACTAGGACTAAACCAGGACTAAACCAGGACTAAACCAGGTCTAAACCAGGACTAAACCAGGACTAAACCAGGACTAAACCAGGACTAAACCAGGTCTAAACCAGGTCTAAACCAGGACCAAACCAGGACTAATCTTAGACTAGAACTTGGAATCTAGGACCGCCCCTGAGAGAACCCTGAGCCCGTGGAACAGGGTGTCTGCAAGGCGCGATCGGGCGTCAGCTGCGGTTCACCCTGTGGAGCGCGGAGTTCTGCGCTGGTCCTTTCGCTCGCAGTCACCCGACGGTCTACATGGGCGCGTCTCCGGCATTTCATCACTGCTGATATCGCGGTGATTTTGGTGAATTTGTATAAAGAAAAACCCACCACTTCAATCCAGGTTAAAAAAAAAAGCATTTTAACGCATGTTACTGAAATTTGTACCAGTTAAAATATATATTTTTTGCTGTAATGCCGAAACATTACTGCGTTACAGCAGAAAGCAATGCATTACTAATTCATCACTTTTATAACGCGTTAGTCCCATCACTGTGGATAGAAGACATAAAAAGAGAGGGATGGAGCCCACCGAGTACAGTCGTCTGTGCAGTCAACATTTCATTTATGGTGCGGGACGTCCAAACAAACAAAGAAGGGATTTACAGTCAATGAAATTATAGCTACCAAAACAATTTTTTTCTCTTAGGTTTGAAGAATGATAACCCACTTTCACCAGATTATGTCCCATCATTATTCACGTACACCCCATCGACAGTGAAAGCCGAAGCAAAACGTTCACTTATTTCCTCTGAAAGAAGATCTAACATGAAAAAACAGATACTGGAGGTTGGGCACAGAGCGAGCGTTTATTAAACTAACAAAGCGATCCGTCGGAATTAGATCGGGATCTGTTCCACAACCCAGGAGGACGACTTTAGCTTTATACCTTTCTAATGACGGCTGATCTAACGAGCTGGCGATTTCGGACACTTTTATGTTGTTTAAAGTCGCCGTGATTATATTATAAACTGAATAACACCATCTGGATCAACCCCAATCTTAACCAAAACATTAAATCACACGCAAATCCTCAATAAAATGAGATGGTTCATTGCTCTACAGTACTGTGGAATATTACAAAAGCCATAACATCTCTTTGGAGACAGGAGACAAAAACAATATTGATTTGTGTCTGTCTTGGTTAACAGGCAGTACTTTAAAACAACTGTGTTCTTGACTACTTCCTCTTACTTCAGCGGTGGAGTTAAAAAAAACACTTAAACCAGCTCTTACCACATTGAGCCAAGGACAGTGCACTGCTCTCCGTCTCCTCTCAGTTATACTCAGACCTTGTTGTGTTTGAGAGCTCCACTCGGCAAAAGGTCCTGAGGCCACACTTTGAACACGCACCATTTTATCTTCAGCTTTATGTAACTGCTGCTCCCGAATATTAAGAGCCGAGGAGTGCCACGGCGCTCTGCAGTGTGTGTTCGAGAGGAGCGCACGGAAAATAGAATATATACAATTGATCAATGCTCTTTTAGTAGAGTTTTATTTCAGTAGGTTTAATGTATTTTCAGACTGCAGCCTGAAGTGACCCAAATCCGATTTTTTGGCCCCTATGTGACCTGTATCTGATCTTTTAATGACAGTCTGAACGACACAGATCTGTTTTTTTCAAATACAACCCAGGCCACTTTGAAATGTGCTCCTGAAACCGATACATATCTGATCTTTTGACATGCGACTTCAGTCTGAACGGTCAAAGCGCATGAATCCGACCTACACGTTATCAACAAGCCACAAACGTCACTATTCTGCGCTGAAGTAGGCGAAAAATTGTTAATGAACTCTGTGTCACTGAAGTGAAGCACATCACCACTCACCACTCTTGGCTCCGTCTCCACATCCACACGTTCCTTTCAACGGACGTCGCTGCCGCTGTCCCACAAAAACACCACGGCCAAAAACCTCGTCCTTCTCCTTCTCAATCTCCTCCTTAAAACAAGTAAGTTGTTCATGTTCTGGCTCCGGTACGAGAGGAACTTTAAAATCTCCAGGTGCTCAATGCTGCGTCCATGTTTGGACAACTTCCGTAAACACAGAGACGCTCGCTGCGGTTGACGTCGTCGTCGTGTCTCCGGTGTCACATGCGGGACACTTTTGGGCCGTTTAACGTTCACACTGGAGTCACATACAAGTTGCATTTAATTGGAAATGTGAACGACCTCGCAAAAACATCGTATTTCACAAAAAAATCAGAATTAGAAATAGCCTTAGTTTCAAAACAAATAAGTGAGATATTAATAAGTTTGCCTGGAATCCAGAATACACAATTCTCCAATACCAAATACCAAAGGTGCAGTTCAGGTGGATGTGGCTGACAAATGGGTGTGATTGACAGGTGTATTAGCCAATCAGGAACACGCATGGTCTGTCCGTATTAAAAAAAAAATATGATTGCTTATGAGGAAGAGAAAGAAGGGAAATAAATATCAAAGGAGACTGAAAAGCAAGGCGGATTTCTATCAGTGAGTGAAGCAGTAAACTTAATCGTTAATCTGAGGTGAAAGAAAGTGCCACCGCTCAGTTTCATTTCTCTCCAGCGACTAGGTCAGGAATCGGAATACACTAGACGGTTTGCAAGAACCTCAGAAGATGTAGACCGCGCACCAGCCAATCAGTGAAGAGCTGTGAAGCCGTGATGTCAAACTCAAGCTCCTGTCTGGGTCCCTTTTGTAGTACAGCACAACAGTAAACAAAGCGTCGAGATGGATGTAGACGAAGCCATACGCTCTGTGTTGACAACGATTCCCGAGATCGAGGATTTAAAGCCGGAACAAAGAGAATGTTATTTAATTTTATCAAGGGGAAAGACGTTATTGCCCTTCTTCCTATGGGATTTGAAGCATTACATACGTCACGAACAAACAGCAGCGATTGATTAAATAAATAAAAGAACCTGCCTACCGTTGAGTGAACGAATCCTAATGCTGCGAGGTCAAACAGTTCCCACGAAGTGAAACCAGCTAGAAAGAAATATGACTTTGTTCAAAATGATGGGTGACCAATGAGCTCCTTCGTTTCACATGTGTCACTCAAATAAACGTTACGATTGGACGATCATGTGCGGCTCTGGCTCGAGGTGCGACAGAGGGTTTGGGCACCAGACTGCATAAAAAAAATACAGAGAGATCAATCTAGATTTGCCCAATAACAGGTAAATATCAAACCTATCATATAGAAGTCCATGCCTATAGGTAAAGTAATGCATTTATTGACTTGTGTACAGCAATTTTCCAACAAGGTGGCAATGGCTTTCACAGAAAAACAAAATCTGGTTTGTCTGTAACAGTTCTCAACCAGCACATAGACTGCCGTTATCCTTGGGCAAGACATTTCTCCCATCTCGCCTTTGCACAAATGAGATGTGTGAGAGTTGATGGTTGGTTTTTGATAAGGAAGTTTAATCCCCATTTCCATCAGTAAACCATAGTAGCTACAGGGAAAATACGTGTGGGGGGAGTGAATCAGTAATGCCTTGTCTGTTTAAATGCTGGTGTTTTGTTGGGTTACAGACTCTTCGGGACGTGCTGTGTGGGGCCTCCTCCTCTCTGCCTGCTGCTCTGGGCTTGTCTTGTGTCTCTATTGTGGTTATGATCGGAGGAAAACTACTCAACGACAGATTCAAACACAAACTCCCTGTGGCCGTGCCCTGGGAGCTCATCACGGTAACACTCATAAATTCTGATTTGACAACTGTTTTTGTCTCATTTTTCATAGAGCGATGTCAGGTTAAAGTACTTTTTGTAAATAAGTACAGATGAGTGTGATAGCTTATTTAGTTTTATTGGGGTTTTATTTCCTCAGATCAGAAGGTAAGCAAAGGCGTGCCTGGTTAGTACTGGGCCAGCAGTGGCTTTAGTGGAAACTGTAGTGTTGTTGCTGGTTGGAGGAGTCAGTGGCACAGCTTGGCAGAATTTCTTATTGAATAATATAATAAAGAGCTTTGGGTGTCTTGAAAGGTGCTATATAAATCTAATGCATTACATTATTATTTAAATACTTTCTGAAATGTTGACCTTTAGATATTTTTGTTATGTCACCTATTTCTACTGAAATGTTTTATGGCAAATTTTAACAACGGTTTTGTGTCTGGCATAAAACTTCTTCCAAGTTTAATGAAGCAGTAGAACTGTTATGGTGACCTCAAAAATGAGAAGCCAAAGGGGGAGACGCTGATTACAAAGACGTTCTCATAATGATCAAAAACTCTCCACCGTGTTTGAGTCTGAGGGCTCTTCAGAAACGAGGCCACAAACACTCCACAGAACCTGACCTGTTTCTGCGATCCTCATGATGATGTCACTGTAAGACCTGACGCTCCTGATCCCACAGACTTACTCAAACTCTTACATAAGTCCAAATGAGTCACACACACACACACACAGAGAGAAACAGAGGAACGAGAGGCGAGCGGGCACCGCACTGTCATCCATCTGGGACACAATACAGATTCTGATCTAATGTTTGAAATAAAAATGTTCTTTTCACAGAATTGGAATTCAGATTAAGAAGTTTGACTAGTTTAGATTGAAATACTGTATGTATAGGTTCTAGAAAATGTTACTTGCTTCATATTTCCAACAAATGTATAATTTATTTTGTGTTCATATTTCTGACTAATTAAACGTTATATATCTTCCAGTGCATCTTCCATGGCAGATCATTTTAATTGAAATAAATATCAAAAACAAAAAGGTTTCTTGTTGTGTTTCAGATCATTCTGAGCACCCTCGTGTCCGTGCAGATGGACCTGTCCGGGTCGTACCATGTGCAGGTGGTGGGACACATTCCGAGTGGGTCAGTACAGCCATTCAGCGTCCGTCACTGTTTGTCACTGTGTTCACTGTTACATCACAGAGCTGCTCACAGAATTATGGACAAATATGCGGAACAATGTGTGGAACAATAACAACAAACAGTTTTATGAAACACTTTTTGTTGTCCTTGCTAGTTGAGGACCAATGTGCTATAAAATCTCTTAATGGGCTCATATTTTCTGATCTGTACGGTAATATCATCACAAACTTATCCGGAGATGTGTTTTGTTTCATTCACACATGTTTAACACATAAACCCTGCATATTTAGATTGAGTTCTTCTCTCAAACTGGTGCTGTCACATGGTAATAAAGGAAATGTTAAACTCCCTACACCTTCACTAGAATCATTTGGTTCATTTCAGCTGTGGAATTGCCCCCAAATGAGTTAAAAGGTTCAAGCTTCATGACAAGATGGAGCAGAGCATTTTGACCATTGGAGATGTAAACAGATTAATAATAAAGGATTACTCAGACATGTATGAATGAAACAAAACACGACTCCAGGAATATTTTTAATGAGGTAACAACAATGTAACATGACTTAAAGCTCACAAGAGTCAATTTTGTGTAATATAGGACCTTTAAAGGTGCTCAAAGTAACTTTTTTGGTGGTGGTGGGGGTATCTTTATGGTATCTTACAGAAATGTTAGTGCTTTGTCTGAAATATTCGACAGCCAGGCATTAAACTTAACTACTTCCATAGAGACAAATAGGCAGTGTTGGGGAGTAACAGATTACAAGTACCGGAGTCACGTAATCAGAGTACAAATTATGAGTAACTGTATTCAGTTACAGTTACTGTTTCAGTGAGTGGTAATTGGATTACAGTTACTTTGTTGAAATAAGTGGATTACATGGCGGTATTATCCTGTTTTCACATTTTGGGCTATATCCCTTTTTTTTTTTTTTTTTTTTTTTAGTAATTCCACTCATTGCCGAACACTAAACCAGGTCTAAATCTGGATTGAACCAGGACTGAACCCAGGTCTAAACCAGGACTAAAACCAGGTCTAAACTAGATCTAAACCAGGACTAAACCAGGACTAAAACCAGGTCTATACCAGGTCTAAACCAGGACTAAACTAGATCTAAAACCAGATATAAACCAGGGCTAAAACCAGGTCTAAACCAGGGCTAAAACCAGATGTAAACCAGGTCTAAACTAGATCTAAACCAGATCTAAAACAGGATTTAAAAGGACTAAACCATGCCGTGCGGACCGTGTTTCCTCCTCTTCTATCAATAATATTTTTAATTTGGTTCAGTAAAGGCTGGGCTTTTTATTTTCTTTTATCACACAAAACATCTTATGTGAAGATGTCCGAGTCTTTGCTTCTCTACAGAAAATCAAGTAATCCAAAGTATTCAGATTACGTTACTCGCTTTAAGTAACTTAATGGATTACGTTACAAACTACATTTTGGGGTATGTAATCTGTAATTTGTAGGGGAATACATTTTAAAAGTAACACTCCCAACACTGCAAATAGGTGACATCGCTAGGACACGTTACAGGTCACGTCTGTGGAGAAGTGAAGCAGCTACTGACCAACTCTATGAACTCTCAGCTGCTGATTTCCAAACATGCTTTTTCACTGTTTTATACATGACAGGATGAGTGTACAAAGTTGACATTGCCTCGTCTTTCTCCTCAGCCTCTCTCTCCCCCGCCTCCCCGCTCTCCCCTCTCTCTCCTCCCTCTCTTCTCTCCTCCTCCCCAGCCTCTCCACTGCTCTGGTCGGGTTCAGCTTCCTCTCTGCAATGGGGACCGTCTTTGCCCAAAAACATGGATACAAAGTGAACCACAACCAGGTACTGTCCCCGTGCGTTTCACTGAAGGATACACGTTACATTAGTCATTTACGCTGACATTTTTTAGAGCTCAGACCTTAGATTATCACATTTTTATTAATACATTTATTAATCTCAGTTATTCAAAACAATAAAAAATGTCTGTCTTAAATTAGTAATTAGTTTCCTGATTATTAACAACACAGACTTTTAATCTTTGCTATCTGCATTACTATCTACTTAAGATCATATTGGCACCAACTCGTTTATCTTATTGTTTAATTATTTGTTATAAATTACAAGAACATTTAGTCAGAAAATTTCACTTTGGAAGAACAAATATTTCTATAATTACAATTTCAAAAGCAAAACATAATGAATAACAGTCAACAATAACAACAAAATACGCAAAAGTGAAATATAAACTTGAATATTAATTAAACTGAACTATTTACTATCTGTATTACCGTTCATTCTCTCAACTTGCCAGATTCTATTGATACTTTGCAGGGACATCATGCCGGGGGTGTTCTACATGTACGTGTATGGCCAAATTGTTATCACAGTGACACAATACTCAGACAGAGCAGTGCCTGCAGTTAGCACTGGCGATCAGCTGCAGAGTATCTGTAGGTAGTAGGATTGTTTTAACATAGGCATATACGTCAGTCACTTGTACTTGGCCTAGTAGTGGAGTTCTAGTAGTAGTAATTAAGGTAGCAGTACTATTAATAGTAGTAGCAGTAGGTGTAGTGGATGTAGTAGTGGAGGTAATAGTAGTGGAAGGTGTAGTAGTAGTAGTAGCAATTGTATTTGTAGCAGCAGCAGTAGTAGTAGCAGTAGTAATACTACTAGTAGTAGTAATTGTTGTAGTAATTGTTGTTTTCGTAGTTGTAGGAGGTAGCAGTAGTTGTAGTTGTAGTTGTAGATAGCAGTAATAGTTGTAGTTGTTGTAGTAGTTGTAGTAAATAGTAGTAGTAGTAGTAGTAGTAGTAGTAGTAGTAGTAGTAGTTGTCGTCGTAATAGTAGTTGTAGTAGGTAGCAGTAGTAGTAGTAGTAGTTGTTGTCGTCGTAGTAGTAATTGTTGTAATAGTAGTTGCAGTAGTAGTAGATAGCTGTTGTAGTAGAAGATAGTAGTAGTAGTAGGTAGTAGTAGTTGTGGTAGATAGCAGTAGTAGTTGTAGATAGCAGTAGTAGTAGTTGTAGTAGATAGCAGTAGTAGTTGTAGTAGTAGTAGTAGTAGTAGTTGTAGTAGATAGCAGTTGTAGTAGAAGATAGTAGTAGTAGTAGGTAGTAGTAGTTGTAGTAGTAGCAGTAGTAGTTTGTAGTAGTAGTAGTAGTAGTTGTAGTAGATAGCAGTCGTAGTAGTAGTAGTAGTAGTAGTAGTTGTAGTAGATAGCAGTAGTAGTAGTAGTAGTAGTAGTAGTAGTAGTTGTAGTAGATAGCAGTAGTAGTAGTAGTAGTAGTAGTAGTAGTAGTAGTAGTAGTAGTAGAAAGCAGCAGTTGTAGTAGTAGTAGTAGTTGTTGTTGTTGTTGTAGTAGTAGATAGCAGTAGTAGTAGTAGTAGTAGCAGCAGTTGTAGTAGTAGTAGTAGTAGTAGTAGTAGTAGTAGTAGTAGTAGTAGTAGTAGATAGCAGTAGTAGTTGTAGTTTTGGTAGTAACAGCATAGCAGTAGTTGTTGTTTTAGTAGTATGAGTATATTGACAGTCCTAATAGTAGTAATCCCAAGTCCAAACTCAAACATTTTATTTTTCCACGCAGTACTGGTCCTATTTTTCCCACTTCCAAATGATGTCACTGTCAGACCTAATTGGCTCCATCCCAAACGAAGTGACAGCTCGGATCTGCTGTTACACAATCCCCATGTGTCTGTACTGTGGAGGAAAACACACACGGCTCTGCTGACGAAACCGACCGCTCAAGTATCCAAACACGGATTCAGACATGAAAACACGGGGAATTTTGTCTTTATCCAAAAGCAATTGCAGTTTTACACCGTAGACCAGTGATGGATCCATTTTTGTTACTTAAACGAAATTGCATTGTGTAACTTTTCTGGTGGAGGGTCCGGCAAAAGCTTTTCTTCGTGGAGATGTTATTGTTTTGTCTGGAATGTTTCACAGTATTGCATTAAACCTTTCTACACGGCAAAAAATCTGGGCCAAAATTTAAGACGTAAACACTTAAATTGATCAGAAAATTAGTCCGGAATCTTGGACATAGGACCTCATTTCCTACTGAGTCAGAGCGTTGGAGACGTGTGGAGACAGTTTTTTAAAATATTCCATCCAGTCCTTGTATTTGCAGAGGTCGCTGGTGCTAGGCTAGTGCATGTCAATGGCCATAGTTATCCTGCCACTAAAAACAGTCTTACCCACTCCACAAAATCTATTATTACACCAGACTGTCCAATGTAAATGTCTGTGTTGATAGAATAATGTTTGAAATAAATCTAACCTCGCATTTGAAGGATTTATGTCTGAGTAGCAGCAGTGAGTTGGCCAGGCTCGTGCCACTTACTGCCTCCGCTCAATTTCATTTCTCTCCAGCGACTAGGTCAGGAATCGGAATACACTAGACGGTTCACAAAAACCCCGGAAGTGTGAGTTCGGGCACCAGCCAATCAACGACGAGCCATATGTTCTGTGTTGGTAACGATTCCCAAGATCGAGGATTTAAAACCGGAATAAAGAGAACGTTTGGTGAATTTTATCAAGGGGAAAGACGTTATTGCCCTTCTTCCTACGGGATTTGGTGCATTACACATGTCACGACCAAATAGCAGCGATTGGTTAAATAAAAAAAGTACCTGCCTACCGTCGAGTGAACGAATTCTAACACTGCGGGGTCAGACGGTTTCTACAAAGTAAAACCGGCTGATGAATCAGGCTAAAAGCGAGTTGCAATTCCTGATAGAAAGCTTGGCAGCGGCGGACTGATATATGAGAAAATAGTCCCTCAACATGCGACGATTCATGCGATACAAGGTTAGTTTTATTTCAAACATTATTCTATCAACACAAACATTCACATGGACAGTCTGGTGTAATAATAGATTTGATTCGGGTGTTTTGTGGAGTGGGTAAGACTGTTTTTAGTTGCAGGCTAACTATGGCCATTGACATGCACTAGCCTAGCACCAACGACCTCTGCAAATACAAGGACTGGATGGAATATTTTAAAAAGTGTCTCCAACACTCTGGCTCACTAGGAAATGAGTCCTGTGTCCAAAATTCCAAACCGTCCCTTTAAAAATAGCGAAATTATCTGTCCATGCATTTTACATGATGAGTTATCTTAAAATATACTACCTCTAGACTAGAATTAAGCCGTCTCTGGTCTAGTACGTACATAATAAATCTAAAAACAAGATGAATAACCTGATATAACTTTTAAATTCTTGGTCAGACCAGAGAAATTTGCAGTGCATCTTCATGGAGACCAAACCAGACCAAGTTACAATCAGAATGCCTGTTTTGGTTTGTTTTTTTTTTAGGTATTTTTGAGTTATAAAATTAATAATTGAATTGAATAAATATAAGGTAGATCTGTTATCGTGGAACTTTCCAGGCAGAGCAATGACATCTCCATAAAAACAAGCAGTTGATGCGCCTGTTATACAATGCACCTTTAGTAAATAAATAAATAAATACAATAAAAACGGCTGTAATGATTGTGTGCAGGAGCTGTTGGCGTTGGGTTTGTGTAACTCAGTGGGATCCATGTTCCAGTGTTTTACCGTCAGCTGCTCTTTCTCCAGGAGCAACGTGCAGGACAACATCGGGGTCAAAACTCAGGTCAGCCGTCACAAGTCATTATACCAAATATATCTAAACAGAACCCGTTTCTTTTACGGATTTGTGTTGTATTCGCGCTAACACGAGGCTTCGCTGACGACAGATGGCTGGTTTGGTGTCGGCTTTGATGATTTTACTGATTCTGCTGAAGATCGGACATCTATTTGAACAACTGCCAAAGGTAAAAAGAAAACAAACAAATGCTCGTGTCATGAAAGTCCTACTGCGAAACATTTCAACTCCGTGGGGCTGCTGAATAGACCGTATATATATAAATGGAGAGTGTTGGGGAGTAACAGATTACATGTACCGGAGTTACGTAATCAGAGTACAAATGATGAGTAACTGTATTCGGTTACAGTTACTGTTTCAGTGAGAGGTAATTAGATTACAGTTACTTTGTTGGAATAAATGGATTACACGGCGGTATGTTTCTGTTTTCACATTTTGGGCTAAACCAGGACTAAAACCAGGACTAAAACCAGGACTAAACCAGGACTAAACCAGGACTAAAACCAGGACTAAACCAGGACTAAACCAGGACTAAAGCCAGGACTAAAACCAGGACTAAACCAGGACTAAAACCAGGACTAAAACCAGGACTAAACCAGGACTAAACCAGGACTAAACCAGGACTAAACCAGGACTAAACCAGGACTAAACCAGGACTAAAACCAGGACTAAAACCAGGACTAAAACCAGGACTAAACCAGGACTAAACCCAGGACTAAACCAGGACTAAACCCAGGACTAAACCAGGACTAAACCCAGGACTAAAACCAGGACTAAAACCAGGACTAAACCAGGACTAAACCCAGGACTAAACCAGGACTAAAACCAGGACTAAACCAGGACTAAAACCAGGACTAAACCCAGGACTAAAACCAGGACTAAACCAGGACTAAACCAGGTCTAAATCAGGATTAAAACCAAATTAAAACCAGATTAACACCAGATTCAAACAGGATTCAAACAGGACTAAAACAGGACCGTGTCTCTTCTTCTATCAATAATATTTTTAATTTGGTTCAGTAAAGTCTGGGCTTTTTATTTTCTTTTATCAGACAAAACTTCTTATGTGAAGATTTCCTCGTCTTTGTTTCTCTACAGCAAATCAAGTAATCCAAAGTATTCAGATTACATTACTCACTTTAAGTAAGTTAATGGATTCCGTTACAAACTACATTTTTGGGTTTGTAATCTGTAATCTGTAGGGGAATACATTTTAAAAATAACACTCCCAACACTGTAATTGGACATTAGTTGCCTCGGTCATTTTGGTCTTAAAATGTTTGTATTAATCCGCTCTGTATAATGTTTTGTGTTTTTTGTTTGTTTTTTACCTCCGCCAAGGAGGTTATGTTTTTGCCGGCGTTTGTTTGTTTGTTTGTTTGTCTGTTTGTCTGTCTGTTTGTTTGTTTGTTTGTTAGCAACATAACTCAAAAAGTTATGGACCGATTTTGATGAAATTTTCAGGATTTGTTGGAAATGTGAAAAGGAAGAACTGATTTCATTTTGGGGGTGATCCGGAAGAAATCCTGGATTCTGGATCACTTTGAAATTTTATTTAATTTATTTTATTTTATCGCAATTTCTATAAAAAATGGGGGTAGTCCTTGGCGGAGGTCTGCGCTCTCTGACTGCTTTTCTAGTTCATCTTGTTTTCAGATTTATTAAGTACGCACTAGACCAGAGACGGCTTAATTCTAGTCTAGAGGTAGTTTATTTTAAGATAATTTGTCAAGTAAAATGATCTTGCTGCATGGCTCGATAATTTCACTACTTTAAAGTCATTTTCTGATAGATTTAAGTGTTTATATCTTAAATTATGGCCAAGCTACTTGCCTCATGAGCTTCATTTGACTGGAGCTGAATGCTGTGGGTGACTTCATACTCCCTTAGTCCACGAGTCCATTGTTTTCCAAAGACTGGGTCGCGACCCTTAAGTGGGTCGCAAGGGATTTTTTGGGGGGTTTCCTTGTCACAATCTGCATGTCGGTTTGTAATATTCAGTTCTGACACTGATCTGCTGTTGTGGAACACACTACAAAAACACAAACAGACCTCATCCCATTAGAAGTGTTGAAATATTAAGACATGTTTTGTATCATTTCTAATCTTTTTTTAATTATTTTACTGACTGTTTTGTTCCAATATTGCTGGTTCAATTGAATGTTGAAAAGAAAAAATAAATAAGCTACATTTAATGTCCAAATAGGCGACTTATGGATCCTTTAATTGCTGCTTCAGTTAATGTTTTTTTATTGTTTAAAACTTGAGTAATACTAATTGTTCAGAGACACGATCACTCAGTCAACAATAAAATATCCTCATTAATGTTCAATAATGATTAAATCCACCTTTATTTAGTGATTTATGAATAATGTCTGTTGACTTTGGTCGCGAAGGTTTGTGACTTTCAAAATATGGGTCCCTAGAAAAAAAGTTTGGGAAACACTGAACAAGTCCACTTAGTCCACAGACTATGTGGGCGATCTTACTTTGCTTAGAATGTTAAAAGTAAAATTTAAAGTAACTTTAAGCAGCTGCGCCCACACCACAAATATCCGTCCATCTCCTCTCTGTTAACCCGTGTCCTGTCCTCTCAGTGTCTGGTCTTGTGCGGTGTAGTTTTGCTGTACTTATATTGACGGTGTTTATGGCTCTATCGTACATAATATTGTTTATATATAGCTTATAATAATACACTTTGTGATTGCAGTGTGTGTTGGCTGCGGTGATTGTGGTGAACCTTTATAAAACTGTGACTCAGCTCAGAGACCTGTGTGAGCTCTGGAGGACCGACAAGACGGACCTGGTCAGTTACAACAGAGAATGTTCACACTCACACTTGATCCGTCAAACGCTTTTCTTCATGGAGATGTTATTGCTTTGTCTGGAATGATTCACAAACCAGACCAAGTTACAGGTCAGATCTGCGGAGAGGCGACCCCGCTCACAGTCAGAATACCCGTTTTTAGGTATTTTTGAGCAATAAAACCACCTGTAATTGAATAAATGTAAGGCAGAGCTGTTTAATGTCACACTGTGGAACATTCCAGGCAGAGCAGTGACATCTCCATAGAAACAAGAAGGTGGCAGACCCCAACCCGAAAAGTTACACAGTGCACCTTTGATTTAACTATACAGAAGGACTAAATTCTCTAGTCTCTTGTGTTCTACTCATATTTATTAACTTTCTTAGAATAATTTTGTTAAAACGCCTTTATATGATTATAAACCATGAATCAGGAACATTCTTGAGTTTGAACTTTCAGAAACTACTGTCTGAGTTAGTGTCAGGCAGTTTGTTTTGTTTTTAGTTCTCCAATTTCTGCCTGTTATTTACATTTTTATGTGTTACCTTTAAAAATGCGCCATGATATTTCCCAAAATTCTTAGTAACAATGAACCTGTTTGGACAAAAAAAAACAGCATGTGCGTTAGTTATTACCCAGAGAAAATGCGACGTCACATTTTACAACCTAATTATTTGTATTATTTTATTCTTATTTAGCCTCTTTTACCATACAATGTCTGATGTAAAGAGCATTTATCTTTGGAATAAATTAAAGTTTGGTTAAGGCCATTTAAATTTTCTGGCAAAACATAAGAAAAACACAAGTTGAAGTAACATTATACTGTGGATTTAAACAGACTTAGACTTTATTGATCCACAAGGGAAATTATTTGTACAGAGTAGCTCACACGTCACAATATATTATAATAAAAAAAAGAGCAATAATATAAATGGTAATAATAAATAAGTAGCAAAAATAGCAAGAGACTGGTGTCAAATAAGGCATAATTATATAAATGCAAATAATATACACTGTTGTTTAGTGATATATAAGGGAACTATTGACATGAATGAAAGTCTCATAACTCACTTTTTAATGCTCACATGTCTGTATTTCTTCCCCAGTGTGTTTGGCTGGCCTCTTTCTTCTCCACTCTGGTCTTTAACCTGGACCTGGGCCTGGCTCTGTCTGTGCTCATCTCTGTGCTGTCTCTGCTCTACAGGACTCAGCGGTCAGTGTAGCTCACAATATTTCTGTTTACAAAGAATATTCAGCATGGCTTTCATTATATTTGGAATGTTAAGATGGAGTTTTGGAGATGTGGGTCACCAGCTCCTCACAAATGTTCAGCAGATGAGTCATTGTTTACAAAGCTTGCACTGTTCCTCATGCTGCTGAATAATCTAGACATTTTTATTAGCATTTTGTACATTTTTTTTTATTATGTTTTACATTTGTCCATCCATCCATTTTCTTCCCCTCCTCCGGGGCTGGGTTGCGGAGGCGGCAGTCTGAGCAGGGAGGCCCACACTTCCCTTTCCACAAACACTTCCTCCAGCTCTTCCAGGGGGATCCCGAGGCGTCCCCAGTCCAGCCCAGAGACATAGACCCTCCAGCGTGTCCTGGGGCTTTTACGTTTGTTACAATAGTATTTTTATTTATTACCTCCGCCAAGGAGGTTATGTTTTTGCCGGCGTTTGTCTGTTTGTTTGTTTGTTTGTTTGTTTGTTTGTTTGTCTGTTAGCAACATAACTCAAAAAGTTATGGACCGATTTTGATGAAATTTTCAGGATTTGTTGGAAATGTGAAAAGGAAGACGTGATTTCATTTTGGGGATGATCTGGAAGAAATCCTGGATTCTGGATCACTTTGAAATTTTAGTTAACATTGTGGTAAATGGGGCCAAAAATGTTGTTTCTCAATATCTCGGTTAATTATTGACCAAACCCCATGAAATTTGACTCAGGGATGGACAATGGGATCCTCTTTCATATTCCAAAGGCTGATCCGGATCTGATCCAGAAGACTGATTTTATCGCAATTTATATAAAAAATGGGGGTAGTTCTTGGCGGAGGTCTGCGCTCTCTGAGTGCTTTTCTAGTTTTTTTTTTTTTTTTTTACTTTTTTCTGTGTTTTTTAAACATGTTTTTATGTTTCTTACTTTTTTGTTTATTTAATTGTTTTTTACTTCTTTTTTTTTTTTTTACAAATTTTTTTATATATTTAAATTTTATTATTTTTTTTTTTTTTTTACAATAGATTTTTAAAACTTTTTTTCACATTTTTAAAACATGTTTTAAATTTCTAACTTTTTTCTTAAATTTTTTTTACTTCTTTTATTTCTTTTCTTTTCTTTTTTTACTTTTTTCTTTTAGTTTTAAAATGTTGTACCTTTAAAAAAAAAAAAAACATGTTTTAAATTTCTTACTTTTTTATTTTAATTAATTAATTTTTTTACTTTTTTTTTAATCTTTTTTTAAACCTTTTTTTAATTTTACTTTTTAAATTTTCTACAGTAGTTTTTTATTATTATTATGATTATTATTATTTTTATTTATTTTTTACACTATGTTTAATGTTTTTATTGTTTTCTTCTTTAGCTTGTCAGCTGCTCCTGTCATTCTGGGTCAGATAACAGACACGGGCCTTTATAGAGATCCGAGAGTGTTTTCACAGGTAACATAACACACATAAAACAATAAAATATAAAATAATAAAAGTGCAAAGAGGATGTACAGGACTATAGACTGAGACAAAGGAGCAGTAGAAGAAAAAACATGACATTTATGGTTATATTGCTGTTGTTTTATTTGACAGGACATTTGAGTGACTTAGAACAGAAGCTCAAAAACAATTTAAAGGACAGATATAAGTGTTAAGTTAAGACTTAAAACTAGGATTAAACTAGTACTAAAACTGCACTTAAACTGGAACTAAACCTGGACTATATCTGGACTAAAACTGGATTAAACTAGTACTAACCCTGGACTAAAACTGCACTAAACTGGGATTAAACCTGGACTTCATGTGGACTAAAGATGGATTAAACCAGTACTAAACCTGGACTAAACCTGGACTAAAACAGAACCAAACCAAGTCTACATTAGGACCAGATCGAGCTCACGCCAGGACCTCGCTGTTGCATTTTACTCAAACGTGTGTGAATGAAACAAAACACAACTCCAGATATTATCTTAAAATATCTTATATAACTAAAATCTCTTCAGCCTACATGTCCCATCATGCACCAGGGGAATGTGAACATGTGACCTACACCTATGACTTTACATCTCGAGTTTGCCCTGATGAAGGCCAGAGGGTCGAAATGCACTGACGTGATTTTAACTTGATCTGTCATGTGGTATTAAAGGCCTTTAATTATTTTGTACTTTTTGAGTGTCTCAGTTTTTTCAACTTTCCCTGCACTGAAAAACACCAGCAAAACGGTAATTTTGCACAGTCTCTGTACATCCAAGTAGCACTCCTGCCCCCTAAAGTTTTGCACAACTCCAGGTCTGTTTTTGAGGAGGTAACAACATTATAACACGGCTTGAAGCTCACAAGAGTTTTTGCGTAGGACCTTAATTTAAGGATAAGAGACATTTAATCTTTGAATCATTCGTTCATTTGTTTTTCAATATAAAACCAAAAATAAGAAAATTAAAAAAACAACAATTTTCTTCATTATTTGTCTCCAAAACCAAAATGAAAAAAAACGATAATGATTTGTTTTTTCAGTTTTTGATTTATGTGTTTATATGAATAATGGAAAAAACGGATAACAACCGTTTCCCATTTCTGTGACTTAAACTGCGATGCTGGATTGAACCAGAACTAAACCAGGACTAAACCCGGTCTGGTCCCAGTCTCAATCCTGGTCTGGTCCTGGTCCCAGTCCCAATCTCAATCACGGTCTGGTCCCGGTCTGGTTCCGGCCTCAGTCCCGGTCTGGTCCCGGTCTGGTCCCGGTCTGGTCCCGGTCTGGTCCCAGTCTCAGTCTTGGTCTCAGTCCTGGTCCTGTTCCCGGTCTCAATCCTGGTCTCAATTCTGGTTCAATTCTGGTTTCGTCCTGGTCTGGTCCCGGTCTCAATCCTGGTCTGGTCCTGGTCCCAGTCCCAATCTCAATCACGGTCTGGTCCCGGTCTGGTTCCGGCCTCAGTCCCGGTCTGGTCCGGGTCTGGTCCCGGTCTGGTCCCAGTCTCAGTCTTGGTCTCAGTCCTGGTCCTGTTCCCGGTCTCAATCCTGGTCTCAATTCTGTTTTCGTCCCGGTCTGGTCCCAGTCTCAATCCCGGTCTCAATCACGGTCTGGTCCTGGTCTGGTCCTGGTCTGGTCTGGTCTGCTCCTGGTCTGGTCCCGGCATCAGTCTCAGTCTAGTCCCGGTCTCAGTCCTGGTCCTGTTCCTGGTCTCAATCCTGGTCTCAGTTCTGGTCTGGTCCGGGTCTCAGTCGTGGTCTGGTCCCTGTCTGAGTCCTGGTCTCGGTCCCCATCTGGTTCCGATCTGGCCCAGGACCTGGTGTAGTCCTGGTTCAGTCCTGGTTCAGTCCAGCATCCCAGTTTAAATCACGTAAACGGGAAACGGCCATTATCCTTTTTTTTTTTCATTATATTATTCATTTAAACACAAAATCGAAAACTGAAAAAAAAATCATTGTCCGTTTTTTCATTTTGGTTTTGGAGACAAATAATGAAGAAAATAGTTGTTGTTTTTTTCATTTTCTTATTTTTTGGTTTTATATCGAAAAACTTATGAACGAATGATACACAGATTACCTTTGTCCAAATCTTTTATACATTTATTAAAATTTTTAGTACTTATTTTTGTCGTCCAGGCCAAACCAGTCGAAGGAGTGACTGTTCTGTCCTGTTCTGGTCCACTTTACTTCGCCAACACTGACTTGGTTTTCAGCTCCATCAGAGAAGTACAGTTATTTATCAACAACGTATTAATGACATGTTTTTATTGTCACATTTTGCGTTATTGTACGTGATATTTTTCATTGCAGACAGTAAAGACTATGGTTCCGTTGGAGGGCCAGTTCTCCCCTCTCTCCTCGTCTTCTTCCTCCCAAACGCGATGCTTAGTCCTGGATTTCGGCTTGGTCCAGTTCGTCGATTCTATGGCCACGAAAACCCTCACCAAGGTAAGAAACATCACGTCGGTATTTGAGATTTTCGAGCAATAAATTCTGTATCATGACACATAAAAAAGCGTGTGGTGTTAAGAAGGGAGCAGCTATTGTTTGCAAATGTGCGTGAGTTCAAGTACAGTTTTAGAGGCTGGAGTTAGTCATGTGTGAGTCAGAGTTCTAGTTTGTATTCAGATAAACTCAAAACGCTGCTCTCGAAATATGACATTTCCCCCAGCCGCAGGTAAAAACAAAACGTCAGGTGTTTTTGTAGTATTTGTATGTGTGAAATCAAAAGTCATTCTTAAATAAACAACTTTACTCCAGATTTATTTAGGGTGCATGCATTCACTCTTACATAAAGACTGCATCGAAACTGGGACTAAACTGGGCTTATATCTGGACTAAATCTGGATTAAACGAGTACTAAATGTGGACTAAACCAGTACTGAACCTGGACTAAACCTGAACTAAACCTGGACTAAACCCGGACTACATCTGGACTAAAGATAGAATAAACCAATACTAAACCTGAACTAAAACTGCACCATACTGGAACTAAACCTGGACTACAGATGGATTAAACCTGGACTAAACCTGGACTAAACTTGGAATGAACCTGGACTAAACCTGGACTAAACCTGGACTACATCTGGACTACAGATGGATTAAACCTGGACTAAACCTGGACTAAACTTTGGAATGAACCTGGACTAAACCTGGACTAAAAATGGATTAAACAGGTACTAAACCTGGACTAAAACTGGACTAAAACTGGACTAAAACTGGACTAAACTGGAACTAAACCTAGACTACATCTGGACTAAACCTTGACTAAACCTAGAGTACATCAGGATTAAAAAGTGGATTCGACCAGTACTAAACCTGGACCACATCTGGACTAAACATGGATTAAACTAGTACTAAACCTGGACTAAACCTGGACTAAAACTGGACTAAACTGGAACTAAACCTAGACTACATCTAGGCTAAACCTGGACTAAACCTAGAGTACATCAGGATTAAAAAGTGGATTCAACTAGTACTAAACCTGGACCACATCAGGACTAAACATGGATTACATCTGGACTAAATCTGAATTAAACCTGTACTAAACCAGTACTAAACCTGGACTAAACCTGGACTACATCTGGACTAAAGATGGATTCAACTTGAACTAAACCTGGTCTACATGTGGACTAAATCTGAAGTAAACCTGTCCTAAACCTGGACTAAACCCGGATTAAACCTGGACTACATTTGGACTAAAAATTGATTAAACAGGTACTAAACCTGGACTAAACTTGGATTAAACCTGGACTAAACCTGAACTACATCTGCACTAAAGATGGTTTAAACCAGTACTAAACCTGGACTAAACCTGAACTAAAACTGCACTATACTGGAACTAAACCTGGACTAAAGATGGATTAAACCTGGACTAAACCTGGACCAAACCTGGACAGAACCTGGATTAAACTTGGACTACATCTGGACTAAAAATGGATTAAACAGGTACTAAACCTGGACTAAAACTGGACTAAACTGAAACTAAACCTAGACTATATCTGGACTAAACCTAGAGTACATCAGGACTAAAAAGTGGATTCAACAAGTACTAAACCTGAAGTAAAACTGCACTAAACCAGAACTAAACCTGGACTACATCTGGACTAAAGCTGTATTAAACCAGTACTAAACCTGGACTACATCTGGACTAAATCTGGATTAAACCAGTGCTAAACCTGGACTACATCTGGACTAAATCTGGATTAAAACAATACTAAACCAGTACTAAACCTGGACTAAACCTGTATTAAACTGGAACTAAATCTGAACTACATCTGGACTAAACCTGGACTAAATCTGGACTAGAACAAAACCAAACCAAGCCTACACTGGGACCAAATCGGGCTCAAGCCAGGACGCTGCTGTTGCATTTGTGGTAGAAGCAAACCCCGATGTGAAAAATGTTCAAACTCAAACTTAATACAACCAAAATAAATAAAATAAATTGATACAAATAAATAAAGATGTCTGCCAGCACTCACACCTCACAGAGAGAAAGTTTCGGGTTCTTTCTGTGCAGAGTGTGAGTAGATTTCCTCTGAACCAGGGCACTCCAGTGTGTCTCTTAAAGCAGACTGTGTAACCTTGGAGAGCAGGATCTTGGCGAGCGCCTGCTGTAAGGTTAAGTGAGTGGGTGGAGGTGCAGAAGGTAAGAGCTTTGTGCATTTGTGGACGAGGAAGATGTCTGTGCTTTTCTCTCAATTGGATGTAATAACAGTTTGATTTTTCGTCTTGTTCCAGTGTTTTGATGCTTTGACCAAAAAGATCAAATAGTCGCCTTGACACTTTTTTCTTTATAAGCGACACACAGCAGCCGCTCTGACCTCCAGGGATGTAACGATATCCAAATCTCATGGCACGATATTTTTACGATCCGGTATTTATTGTGATATTTTGAGGAGACTAAAACAAAATTGTGAATATGTTACTTTTTCCTCTTAAAATGTCTTGACAAGACTTAATTCAAAGACGTAAAAGTGTTTACAACTGTTATTTCTTCATGTAGTTTCCACCAAACTGGAGCAAAGGATCATGGTCGATGTAGTTCCCTCTGTTTTTTTTAGCTATTGCTGCATCATAACAATGAATTTAAGCAAAGACGCTTGTGATTTGATATATTGTGATGGTCCATGATATTATTGAGAGACTTTGGACAATACGGTCTTATAATATTTTAGTTATTGTCATACCCCTACTTAGCCTGATTCATTAGCTGGTTTCGCTTCATGGAAGCAGTCTGACCTTACAGCATTCGGACTCATTCGCTCAGTGGTAGGCAGGTACTTTTTTAATGTAACCAATCACTGCTATTTGGTCGTGACATATGTAATTCGCCAGATCCCGTAGGAAGAAGGGCAATAACGTCTTTCCCTGTGATAAATTCACCAAACATTCTCTTTGTTCCGGCTTTAAATCCTTGAAGCCAACACAGAATGTCTGTCTTCGTCTACATCCATCTCGATGCTTTGTTTACTGTTGTGCTGAACCACAAAAGGGACCCAGACAGGAGCTTGAGTTTGATGTCATGGCTTCACAGCTCTTCACTGATTGGTCGGTATGCAGTCTACAACTTCCTGGGGTTCTTGCAAACCGTCTAGTGTATTCCGATTCCTGACCTAGTCGCTGGAGAGAAATGAAATTGAGCGGAGGCACTAGGTGGCGTCATCCTGGCTAGTAGTTTGCACCAAAACGGAGTAAAGGATCATGGTCAATGTAGTTCCCTCTGTTTTTTTTTTAGCTATTGCTGCACCATAAAAATGAGCAATGAACTTGTGATTCAATATATTGTGATGGCCAACAATATTATTGAGAGGCTTTTGACGATACAATATTATGATATTTGGTTATTGTTACACCTCTACTGGTTTCACTTTGTGGAAACTGTCTGACCTCGCAGCCTTTACTTTTTTTATTTAACCAATCACTGCTATTTGGTCGTGACGTATGTAATGCGCCAAATCCCGTAGGAAGAAGGACAATCGTCTTTCCCCTTGATAAAATTCATCAAATATTCTCTTTGTTTCGGCTGTAAATCCTCGATCTCGTGAATCATTGCCAACACAGAATGTCTGTCTTCGTCTGTTCGTTTACTGTTGTGCTGTTCCACAAAAGGGACTCAGACAGGTGCTTGAGTTTGACGTCATGGCTTCACAGCTCTTTGCTGATTGGTCGGTGCACATCTACAACTTCTGGGGTTCTTGGAAACTGTCTATTGTATTCCAATTCCTGACCTAGTCGCTGGAGAGAAATGAAATTGAGCGGAGGCACAAGGTGGCACCAAATAGGGCAAAGGATGGTAAAATGGTAAAAGGTCACATTTTTCTATAGTGCTTTTCCACCATCAAGGCACATCAAGGCTTTACAACAAGGAACCACTCACCCATTCACACACACATTCACACACCAGTGTACGCAGCAATGTGGGCAAGGTGGGTTAAGTGTCTTGCCCAAGGACACAACGGCAGCATTCATCTGGAATCACACCAGCCAACCTGTGTGTCAGTGGATCTGACCGCTCAACCTGTGATGTTTATGTCGAGAGCTGGAATCGAACCACCGACCTTCAGATCAGTGGGCGAATGCTCTACCAACTGAGCTACTGCCGCCCCCCCAGGATCATGGTCAATGTAGTTTCTTCTGTTTTTGCTGCACCAGAACAATGAATTCAAGCAAAGAAACTTGTGATTTGATATATTGTGATGGCTTGAGAGACTTTTGACGATACGATATCACGATATTTTGGTTATTGTTACATCCCTACTGACCACCGCTGTAAAATAAATCTCTCATTCATCCTCGTCTTTCAAACCAGTATCATGAAATACAGTGTCCAGATGACTCCCCCTGACCCTGCACCACTCTGAAACTCACTCACAGAAGAACGAGCTGTTACCTCTTAAACCCTCTCAGACTTCACTGCCCTTTCCGTTCAAATATTTCTACTAAAGACTCTACATAGTAAGACCAGTTTTACCCTTTTGAACAGTTTCAGAACAGTCATCTCCTGTCCACTCTCCTGTGCGCGGTGCAGTGAAGCAGCCCTGAACTGTTGTACCGTCTATTTTTACCACACTGTAATTGAGTGTCTGGGAGTTCGGGCTGGAGTGGTCATTAAACGCCGCGCTCTGATTGGCTGGTCTCACTCCCACCTTGGCCCTGATTGGTGGGTTGGGTTTACAGTTATTATGAGCGTTAGATAATGTCCCTGTGTGTTGAGCCTGTTAGTCACCTTTGCTTTGTTTTAACTGTAAATACTGTGTGTTTTGAAGGTGATGGAGGAGGTGGAGTCTGTAGGAGGGACACTGGTGATAGCAGCGTGTTCAGGTAAGTGCCAGGTTTTCCACACTATAATGAAGTCTCATACAAAACACAATTACATCAATGAGTAGCTACACGAAACACGACTAGAAAAATGTCATACAGGCCATGTTAGTTATGGGTCTCAAACTGGGGTGAAAGTACCACAGTAATTTTGTGTTTTAGAGTCCTTGTAGGACCTATATTACACAATCGTCAAAAACAAACCTGGAGTGTTTGGTTTCATTCACACATGTTTGAGTAACCTTTCATTATTAATCTCAGGGTTCCCACAGTCATGGAAATCCTGGAAAAATCATGGAAATTGAAAATGTCATTTTCCAAGCCTGGACAAGTCATGGAATTTTGTAAATTCAATGAAAGTTTTGGAAATGTCATGGCATTTTAGTATCGCTTTTACACAACTACGTTCTGTTAAGTTCTCATTAGAACATTATGATTATTTCTGAACATATGCACATTTTGTTTGAAAGAGACGACAATAAATGCACTGACAGTATTTTGAATGTTAAAAAACTATAATATCAAACCATAAAGAGTTAACATTTCATATTTAGCGCTAAAAATACACTCAATTCTACACACGTAGGTGTTGTAAAGTCATGGAAATTTCATTTTAAGTCATGAAAAAGTCATGGAAAAGTTTTGACATTTTTTCAGGGAAAAAGAGTGGGAACCCTACAGTGTGTTTACATCTCCAAAACTCAGAATACTCTGTTCCACCTTGTGATGTCATGAAGCAGTAGTTTTCAAGTTAACAGTTTCCTTTTACCTTTAGCTTAGGAGAGATTTACCATTTCAGAGCTGAAATTATCCCAGTGATTCAAGTCAGGTGTATGGAGTTTAAAAACACAGTGGAGCACTTCCTGTATTACCACATGACATCACAAGGTGGAACAGAGTGTTTTCAGTTTGAGAGAAGAACTCAGTCTAAATATGCAGGATTTGTGTGTTAAACGTGTGAATGAAATAAAACTCCAGGTCTGTTTGTGATGAGGAAACAACTGTATAACACAGATCAGAATATAATATAGACCCTTTAAATCATAGTACTTTCTTTTATATTTCCATGTGGCCTTATATTTGTGTAATCCCTCAGTGGTCCAGGTAGGTTCCACAGTGGTCCATGGGCGTATACTAGTCTATGTGCTTTTATACTTATTCTGATACAGCTCTAGATCTTTCTAAAGCCATTCAGGAAAGGTTCATTTCTGTCCTGTGATTCTGACTTTTTTAGTATCGATACCTGCTTCTGTGGCATAGCGTGCGGTATTTATGGATGAGGCTTGTCGTCAGCAAACCCCAATTTGCTATCTGAGGTTCTGGTACAAGAAAAAACAACAACAAAGAATCCATAAACTGTAGTTAACTTCATCATCAAATAGGTTTTGACGAGTACACGGGTAAAACAAACACATACTAGAGCCTAAACTCCAGAAACTCTCACCTCTTCAGCCACTAATAGGAGGTGGACAATAGACCTTCATGCTGATTTTCAAAACTTTTGGCAACTCTAATCTAAACTCATTAAGTGTAACATTACTGTATTCTCAGAGCCTGTCCTTTGTCACCTGAAGAGCTCCGTGTCCAGCTCCTGTCTGTTCCCTTCTGTTCACTTGGCTGTACAACACTGTGTGAAGGAAAATGATGACGACTAATGGAGAAGTATGTTGTGCATAATATAAAGACATTGTAATAATTCACTTTGTCTATATATATAAAGAGAAGTAACCCTTTGTCCATATACAGTATATAAAGACATGTTATACTTGCATGATATGGAAGCTGTATACAACTATAAAGCTTCTGCAGTAGTATTTTGTTTGTACTTTGTAATTTACACCCTAAGCAACCTTGACAGTAAATCAAATGAGTCATGTTATTAATATCGCTAATAGCTACTGTATACTGATAATGACACAAAGTCATTAGTCTAAAGTAAGATACTATGCTTATAGGGAAACGTAAATGTCAGTCATAAAAGTGGATAAACCATAATATGACAATAACTTTTTTTTTTTTTTTTCAATCTTTTTCAGGAATCAAATCCAGATTGTCCTCAGACTTAGAGCTGATTCTGTCTGAAGATATTAAATGTTTCACAAATGGAAAAGGTCTCACTCCCTCACAAACACAATGACAGAAAACACTTCTCCACAAGAAAAGAAGAAAATTCACATGGAGTTTATAGGTTTTAACCTGAGTAGATTCTGTATGAAAATAGTTTTCTTGATACTTACACTGAACATTTGCTGTTTCATTTGTCTTTTTTCACATCATTTTATTAGACTGTAATAACTTAACATATTTGAAATGTTTGTTCATATTTTCAGGTCATAAAAATAGTAAATTGAGTTGTAAATCATGTTGTGGACCCTGGTTTTAAGTAGGTACACTTCTTCTTGTGCTACTGTCCAGTCGATTTCATGGTTTTGACTTGATTAAAGGGCCCATAT